AAGCGTAAGCCTGGGATTCCTGGAGTAGAAGCACCAAGGTTCAAAGCTAGGCTTGTAGTTAAGGGATATGCTCAAAGGGAGGGAGTGGACTACACTGATATATTTGCACCAGTAGTAAAACATGTCTCCATAAGGATTATGTTGGCTATTGTTGTAGAAGAGGATCTGGAGCTTGAACAGCTCGATGTTAAAACTGCATTTCTTCATGGGGAACTAGATGAGAAGATCTATATGGAGGCTCCAGAGGGTTTTGCAGATCAGTTCAAGTCATATCAAGTTTGTCTACTGAATAAATCTCTGTATGGTTTGAAGCAAGCACCAAGGAAGTGGAACCAGAAGTTTGACAGTTTCATGACAGAGATTGGATTTGAGAAAAGTCTGAGGGATAGCTGTGCTTACATGAAAACTCTCAAAGATGGTTCGATGATCTATCTACTTATCTATGTAGATGATATGCTAGTGGCGGCTAAGAACAAAGGAGCTATCTCAGAGCTGAAGGAACAGCTTAGTGTTAAGTTTGAGATGAAGGATCTCGGAGCAGCCAAGATGATACTTGGTATGGAGATCACTCGGGACAGAGCTGCAGGGAAGCTATGGTTATCGCAAGAAGGATATTTGAGTAAGGTTTTGGAGCTGTACAAGATGGAGCAAGCGAAAAAAGTGGTAACACCACTCGGAGCTCATCTGAAAATGTGTGCAGGAACGGAGAAACAGTTACTCGAGGATGCAGAGTATATGAAATCAGTGCCTTACTCAAATGCCGTTGGAAGTATCATGTACTCAATGATTGGGACAAGACCAGACTTGTCATATCCCGTGGGAGTCATCAGCAGATTCATGAGCAGTCCCATCAAAGAACATTGGTTGGGAGTAAAATGGGTGCTGAGATACATCAAAGGTACGATGGGAACAAAGCTATGCTACAGCAGAGGTTCTGAGTTCATTCTCAAGGGTTATTGCGATTCAGACTTTGCAGCTGATGTGGATAGAAGAAGGTCAGTGAGTGGAATGGTTTTCACCCTAGGAGGAAACACAATCAGTTGGAGGTCTGCGTTACAAAAGGTGGTTGCTCTGTCAACTACAGAAGCCGAATATATGTCTCTAAATGAAGCTGTCAAGGAAGCTATATGGCTGAAGGGTCTGTTGAGAGATTTTGGTTATGAGCAGAAGAGTGTAGAGATTTTCTGCGACTCTCAGAGTGCTATAGCTCTCTCAAAGAATAATGTGCACCATGAAAGGACCAAGCACATTGATGTGAAGTATCACAAGATTCGCGATACCATTGCAGATGGGATCGTGGAAGTGCTGAAGATATCTACTCTGACCAATCCAGCGGATATCTTCACAAAGATTTTGCCCGTAAGTAAGTTTCAAGCTGCGCTGAACTTACTGCGTGTGAAACCTGAGTAATTAGCTCAGGGAATCCGGGACTGGAATCCACTGCATCAGTGCCTCGTTTATCTCTCTTCTCAGGTAAATTCGTCTATATGTGTTTAGTATTTGATCAGTTCATTGCTAGGTGGAGATTTGTTGTCTTTAGCAAGTGAAGATCAAATGGGAAGATCTATGATCACATTGAGGACGTGGAGAAGTGTTTGCCAGCGTGGAGCATCGCCACGTTAACAAGTCTTGCAGGACCACAAGGAGGATGGAGCCGTTGCTGCAGCTGCTACATTTAAGGGTAAAGCAAAAGCAGTTCTTGTCTTATTCAAAACTAAGAATGAAGGACGAGTTGATTGGTGTTGCTACACGCCAAAGAAAGGCTCTTTTGTGGAGGCTGCAAAAAAGACTAGGTTAAGGTGATGTCTCAGTATATATATGCTTTTGGCATTGGCGTTTAAGATAGACATTGAGAGAGACACAAGATTAAGGCATTCATTCATTTTGTATAAATTTTTTGAGTGAGTGTTCTTGAGTGGGGATACAAAGAAGTAGAGAGAAAACATAGAGTGAGCTTTGTAAGGGGCTTGTGGATTTTCGGATCTCTTGTAACTTCTGATATCTAGTGGATTCCGGGGAAGGTCCCGGCGAGACGTAGCGACCCTTGTTAACGGGCGTGAACTCGTAAAACTCTGTGTGTGCTCTGTTTTTCCTCTGTTTTGCTCTCTCTTCTTTCCTTCATACTTCATTCACAGATCTTCTCTTGGTGTGTTAGCAGATAAAGCTCGAAAAGGAAACCCCTTGAGCTGATATTTGCATAACAGATGTTGTAGATAAGCTTCCCGAAGAGCGCTCCCAAGTGAAAGGTGATTAAAGGCAGACAAAGCGAAGTTTCTGATTTTTATGATTTTTACTTGTCATGGACTCATGGGACTTGTGCTGCTGCAAGATTCTATTTATGTGATTCTCAATGCTCGTCTTGGCTAATTTCAGCTTTTTGTTTCGTGGTTTTTGTAGAAGCGGAAGTGTGGTTTGATCAGATGTCTTCCGCCTGGGCTTACTCGAAAATGCAAAAAGAGAAGTCAAGATTGTTGTTGAGGTTGATGTTCTTGAAGTTATTGGCGAGTTTGATGTATCAGAGGAAGCTGAGAACTCAACCCAACCTTTGATGAAAAAGATGAAGTTGAACGTGTCTAGTGATTTACTCAGCGAGACAAAACAACTTCATGAAAGTGTTGATGTCAGTGGGTTTCAGGTTTTTCCATCACAGGTAAGAAAATGAAGATGTATGCCCACCTCATGATTATTTTTCTTAAAGAAAATTTGCACCTGAAAATATCATGTGTTCTACTTCTACCATACATAAGTTCCAAGTATCATGTAAAATTCCATCAGTTTATTGGACAAAACCAGTGTGTATTCATTCATACATTCTTCTTCTTTTTTATGACACACAGGTGGAATCTGTGAGGCGTTTATTTGAAAAATACCCAGACTTTGCATCAAAATTCCGTGCTAAGAACCGTAATCTGAAGTCAACATACATGAATGTCCTCCTCGGACTAATTGAGACGCTTTGCCAGTCGCCTCAAGAGCTCTCAGCTGATGATCTTGATGAAGCATCTGATGCAGTGTCTTATGTGGCAAAGGGAGGCTTTAGAGTGGATTGGTTGGAGAAGAAGCTTGAGGAAGTAAAAGAAAAGAAGAAGAAAGTGGACACTGCTAAGGCTTCACTTCAACAAATGGAGCAAGAGTTGCAGAAACTCAATCAGAAATGTTTCGACCTGAAGGCTCTTGTGAAGAAGAAGAAAGCAGATGTTTCGGCTTCAAATGTTGCTCTCTCTTTCCATGATGTTGTTTGTATAATTTTTGTGTTCTCATGAAACTTGGAAGTCTTTATTTTACTTGGTGAGTTGGTGTTCTGTCTGAAGTTTCTTTTGTAGTACTTTGTAATGGACAAATGTCTTAAAGCTAAGTTACTTGCTACCAAAGTAACTTATTTATGTCTGAACAGAGTGTGGTGAATAGTATTACCAACCTTTATGTTTCATATTGTATCGTAGGATGCATGGCTCAAAGGATTACATACTGTACAAGACAGTGTAACTTCTCTTTTATATATCCGTTTCTGAAGTGTAATCTCTTTTACAACTGAAGCATTGAGTGAAAAAAACAAAGTACTCTGCTTTTGTAGATCCTCTGGTTCTCTTCTTCATGGTCTTGCAGACTAATTAGGAAAAGAAAATTGATTTGAGGTTAACAAATGCAAATTCTATCGACTCTACTATCCAAAACAAGTCATATATAAACACTGCCATGTACCAGAAGTTGATCCAAAGAGCAAACACTTTACAAGAGAGATCCTTAAGTTTTCTGTTTAGAATTTGTTGCTAACTATGAAGTAAATCAACTTCTACTTCCCTAAAAATTTGGGAAGACACCCTATGCATCAATCTTGAGCATCTGTAAACTCAGTGGAGATGGAATCTGTTGAGGAAACAAAGGTGAATTATGTTATGAATTTGAGTTTACAAGCGAAAGAAATGGAATATATCGATGATGTTCCTAAATTTTGCTTTGTTTCTTGAAACACGATAGGATCCTTGTTGGAATTAGGGTCATGAGAATTCATCGAATTGGGCAGAAACACGTTGGAAGGAAGATTCATTGTCAAGGTAATAACCATTTTAGGTTTCTTGCATCCTAGGTAATAAAACTTGCAAGAACTCTTACAAAGATTATGTGCCGGATACAGAGTATATAGAAACGGATGCAGCAAGTTCAGGCGAGTAAGCTAGCAGCGGGTGATAGCCAGAGCTTTAGACCAACGAATTAGTTAATTACATCTTGGAGTTCAGTTAACTATAAGAATAACTATAAAATAATAATAGCTTGTTAGTCAAGTATTTCTTCAATGGCCTTAAGAAACTCCAATTGAGTGGAGAAGAGAAGCTCAGATGTATTTGTTATAGAGAGAGTACATATTATAGGTAATTTGGTAGCGTGTGTAGCCACGATGAGAAGGAGTACATGTGCATCCGGTTCTCCGGAGAATTGGGAATGAGCTTGGCACGGTTCAAGAAGTTGATGAAGAAAATGCGATGGTTCAAGTGAGTGTCGATGGTACTAAGCCACTGTGCTTCGAAATATCGGTTCGATTTGAAACGGGTGGTGAGGAGGTGGTTGTGAAGATGGAGTACGAGAAGCTTTCCGGTTACTGTAAGACTTGTTTTTAGTCTTTGTCATGACCAAGATTGTTGCCCGGACAAAGACTAAAACAAGATCCAAGATTCAACCAAACGAGCCGCCGAGAGATCGTTAGACCGACACATCAAACCGAACCGGAAATACTTGGATTAAGTCATCGTTATTTCTTTTAAATTACTTAAATATCAAAACTACTAATTTGGATTACTATCAAGTTACTGAAAAACATGGGGGCTGTTATCGCAATTACTTCAAAATTCTTTTATTTCAGATAACAATTTCAAAGTGAATACAACAACATGAAAGCTTGTCAATAACAGCAATAAATCAAGGGAAAAAAAAAGAGGAAAATAAAAATAGCAGAAACTGTGAGTAAAGATAATTTGAAAAACCCTTATTTGTTTGTCTTACAATTATATAGCATTGAGAGCCGCCTTATTCGCTTTTTCCCCAAACAAAGCACTTTGCATCGCCAAATGAATCTCGATTTGCATCTTCTCCATCTCTCTTTGAGCCTCTAACATTGCAGCTAACTCTGAATTCGCCGAGCTTTTGCTTCCTCCTCCTTCTTTCTTTGTCTCTGATTCCTCTTCCTTGCATGAGTGTAAATGTGTACCGTAGTCACATTCCTTGCAGTAATACGACCAGAGATTATCCGGTACAGTTTCTTTACAAACATCACATTTGAAAACTAAACCGGATTGGTTATAAGGAGAACCGTAAAGAAGAGCGAGTGGATGTGCGCGAGATTCACGCTTCGCGGTTTCAGGCATTGAAACACATGCGACATGTACATCGTACTGACAGATCGAACAGTTGTAAGTGAAACTTGACCCGTATTCACCGCACGCTTGACAAGTGTACGTTGACTTTGGGGAATAGAGTAAAGTCAAAATGTGGGTTTGGTGAGACTTGTGGTTGGTTTCACGTGGAAGGTCGAAACATGACTTGTGCAAGAAGTAATCACAATCTGATGATGACTTTGTGCATTTGAAAGCTGCACCAATCAGATCGAGATCGCAACCGGAGCAGATGATTTCGTCTTTTGCTTCACATTTGTGACCGCGCAATGGATGGTTGTGACTCGGGTGCCTCACAGATTGTCGAGAAGACATTGTACTTTTGATGTTCTTGATATGTTTTTTGAGAGGTTTTTGTGATTGTAATTAGCTTATAGGGTTCGGATCTATTTATAGTGAAAACTGGAGGAGACTCTGTGATTACGAGTCTTGGTTTTGGATTTGACTACTGAATCAAGTTGTAATTTATGGTGATTAACTATATAATTGGGAGAATTACATCACGCTCTAAGTGATAAAAGTATATTACTATAGATGGTTCACATTTGGGATATCCAAAGTCAAAAGATGCATTGTCCATGGAACTATTTTCCGATCTCAATCATGCATCTGATGGTTTTTATTATATGCTGTAAGTAAACCAGTTAAAATTAAAGATTTCAAAATACTGGATTATCCTTATCAAGTTGGGAATTTAAAAAATAATGTTGACATAGTACATATGCGAATGTCAAATTAATCACCATGCTTGACTCTTACGGCATTAGATAACTAAAAATGAAGATAAATAACATAGGCATTATCTGATTAGACTCTTGAATCCGACATATTTGATGATTTTGGAAGTAAATATACCAAAAACTAGTTAACTCTCAGTTACTAGCATATTCACAATTACTCGTTGGTCTCGAATTACCCGAAAATATATTTTGGTTAACTTTATTGGAATTCAGTTTCCATGGTCAACTCGATCAGATGTGAATTAGTTCGGTTAACAGGTTGGTTCGGAACTTCTTACCCATGAACCCGGTTATCATCAACTTATTTTTTTATTTTTTTATATATTTTGGTGAGGAGGAAAAATTCTATATGTACTAGTTGGTGAACTACGCTATGCGCGGCTATATGATTTATTTTTATATATTTTGTATTAAATTTGTTGTATCTTATATTTCTTGAGAATTTTAAGATGAATTTCTATTTCTCACATGTACCTCTCTCGAATTTTCTATTTTTTTTCAAATTTCTAGTTTTTGATCCGCGCAGCACAGGAATTTGATTATCATTTTATATATTTTTATATTATATATATTGTATCATATAGTTTTGGACATTTTGTGATTATTTTTTTTCAATGTACACAAGTTGAATTTCTTGTCTTATCTCAATTTTAATCAAATATTATTCATTCAAGATTATTTGGTTTATTCAAACAGGTAAGAAAAGAAAACATATTCTAACTATTATCAGAGAAGCATGTTTACTAAAAAAAATTTATGTGTCAACACCTTAAGAAAATTAAGTGCAAAACAATGACATCTCATAACTGCGACATGACAAATTTTCTAAAATAAACGAAATATTTTGATTGGTTACGTTAAATCTAAATAAATCTCATTTTTAAATAAGAAAAAATAGTTTATATCAAATATGAATGAATTCTCATTATATAGCAAGAATTCAAAATTATAAATAGAACAAAAAATAAACAGAGAGAAAAATATATTATAAGTATCCTCTTAGCTAAAATTTTTATTATAATATTGTATATATGAATAAAAAGTAGAATTAAAAATAAAAATGAATATTTATGACTTTCGTTTTATGTAAAAATCCCAGGCTATATTTTTGGTTTAAAGCATCTCTAACCCACCTTTATTTTAAATCTTCTAATTTAGAGAAAAAAGAAAGGTTGTTATTTTTTTCCAATTATAGAGACAAAAATAACAACTTTTTTTCCTGTAAAATAGAAATAAGTTGGAGAGAAGTCTACTTATATTTTAGAGGAAAAAATAGAAAAATTACATTGGAGATGATCTTAATGTTTAATATATTATTAAATGTTAAGAAAACAAAAGTATGAGTCAAAGAAGAAAAAAAAATAAGAATAATTTTGATTGATTTTAAGTTTTTATTTACAATATTTAAAAATATTATTTTAGACATATTAATTCTTTCGTGCATATATCTTTTCTAACATATCAAAACATTATTTCATGAATCAAGTTTTGTATATGTTGTGATCCATTATATTTTACTAGGTTTTTAACTCGCGCTACGCGCGAGTCTGTATTAATAATTTAGTTTAATTTTTTGGCTAATATCTTTTAAATTATCAAAATAATAATATATTTATAGACATTTTCTTTTATATAAAAAATTAAAAAGTATTTCCTATTTTTGTTTATAAAATAATCTTATTAATTAAAATCATAGTAATGACACCTAACGAATTATCCAACTTCGATGTGCATATGTTTAATTTAGAAAATGATTTCCTTACTAAATTTTTGGTGTTTTGTTTTGTATCCTTAGGATTTCTATGGTTCTTTTTTTTAAAGTTTTATATGTCTAAATATTTAGTTTCTTTACTAAATGTCTCACTATGTTGTGTACATATACATATATAATATATGATATATGTTGATTCAGATTTACTTTTGTTAGTAAGCTATACTAATCGTGTAAAGCTGCTTTTTGCTTCTCCACCAGATCTTCTACGAATTTTAGGTTATATCTCTATTCAATTTATAAGATCTATTTTATTTGCAGTCAACTATTTGCTAATATTTATTTTTAAACATGTAAGATGATGTTGAGACTTCACATTATCACTGTTTTTTTTTATCTTTCGTATGTTTATTCATGTTTTGATTTGAATATTTTATCTTCATATATTCTCATTCGAATTTGATTCATAACTTTGTTATATTATATTATTTAAATAAAATTTTAGAGGATGTTGCTCATATGTTGTTCATGTTAACTAAGTTATAAGCAGTAAATATGTATACAAATCAGACTTTATTACTTATTATATTTTGAATGAAAAATTACTTGTGTAGTATTTTACTTTGTTAATTTTCCAACCAGACCCTACCAAGGTATGAATCTTTGTCAATTTAAATAATATGTTTGATTTAGAAACTTGTATAACCTATTAAAACTTTATATGATTATTCATAGTCAACACCAATATTTTAGAAATCATGAATGTTTTTGGAACTATATTTCAAACTAATTTTCTTCTTACATCTTGTTTTTTATTATTTTAAATATCTTCGATGGTAATTTTATATTTTATTTTAATTATCTAATTTTCTGCAAATTTGATATACTTAAAACATATATATTTTTAATTAATCTCTTTTGTTATTGATTTTTCAAATAAGTAGCATATTAATCTAATATCTTTTACATAAATTCTTTTTATTTGTTAAATTTACCTTTAAAATTAATTAAAATGCTATTTTGACATACTATAACTGGTTATCCTAATTTTTAAGTGAACTTCTCTCAAAAGTTATATCATCATTTGCTTCTTTTAGTTAATATTTGTTTGATAGTTAGCCTAAATATCAAGCTAATTTTACTTTATAGGACTTTTTCCTTTGATAATTTACCTCTCTTGATATTGATTTATATTTTATTTTAACACACCATTGTTTTTAAAATATTAATATTTTGAAGACATAAAGTTTTTGTTAGTTAAATATTTTTATATGAAGTTTTTAAGTAGTTAGTTAGATATCAAGTCAATATATTTTTACGTATTTTTAAAAAAAAAATATTTTGTAAAACTTAATTTTCGTTAGTTTTTTAGTTAATTAATTTCTCTATATTGATTTCTTAAATAATGAGCTTAAATATTTATATTATTTTTGTTAGTTAAGTTTTTTAGTATTATTTAAGTTTTTTTATTCACTTACTTATTCTGTTTATATTGATTTTGTTAAATAAATAACATAGATATTAAGTTAATATCCTCTTTTTTTTTGTTAATTTAACTTTCTTGATATGGACTTTCATTTTAATTGTATTGACATGTTGTAAGAAATAATTAATGTTTTAGTTTTTGTTAGTTAAATATTTTTTTATATTGATTTCTTCAGTAATTAGCATAAAGTATCATTTTTCGTTTGTTAAGATTTTTGTGTTATTTTTTTAAATATTTCCCTAAAAATTATAAATTTTAGATGACTTTCTTTTTGATAATTTAAGATGAATGTTTTTTTCGTAGTATTGATATTTTTAAATAACAATTTTATATGTTTATATGAAAATTTAATCTTAATATTTTTTATAAATAAATTACTCATTTAAAATTTATATGCTAATTTTTTTAAAAAATTAATTTTTTCGTTATTTATTTACATATTTGTTTTTGTTAGTTTAGTTTTTGTAACAATGAGTTTCCATTTTATTTTCACAATAGATTTAGACTTTTGACATAAATTTATTTTATTTAGTTAAAAATTTATTTTAATTTTCTATTCTATTGTGATAATTATATATTTTGTATGTTTTAATTTATTTAAATTATTAATAATATTTTTTATTTTTATGTTTAATAAGAACGCTGATATTGACTAATCATATTGAGTATATATGTCCTATGTGAACGCTCTCATTGGCCTAAGACATTAACACGGACCACAACTAATATATTTTAAGTTAGCAGTTCAGATTTTAATTGTTTGTCGTGATTATAATTTTAAAATAATTTAATTATAGTTTTAAATACAGTTTTTAATAATTTTGTTCAATATATAAGATTTTTCTTTCATAATCTATTTTTATGTTAATTTATCTTTTTTATTGCTAATAGAAAAAATAAGATCTATTTTCAAAACTATTTTTTATTAATAACTAACTTAAAATTTTGAAACTTTCTTAATAACAACAAAAACAAAATTAATTAAAATTTAGAAATTTTTTTTATAACAATTAAAATAAATTAATTAGTTTCAGTATACAATATATAATTAACTAAAAATAATGATGATGTGTACCAGTAGAATTGAATCTTTAAATCCTATGTGGACACCCTTAGAGGCATTTAGCATCAACTTTTATTAGTAATAGATATTAACAAATATATTAAAGTTAGAAACAGATCAACTCTTAATTTTTAATAACAATCAAATATTAAATATATTATTTTGCACCTTAAATCATACACATATAAGTTTAGATCTGATTGGTTTAAGCGATTCAGTTACAGAGAGTTTGTAGAAGCGAGCGATTGCGGATTATAAAACATTTGACGAAGAGATGAGTGGAGAGCTACCGGAGAATTTTATAAAATATAATTC